GAGAGCTATAGGCACATCTGGAAGACCCCAGGCATCAATGGAACTGTAAGTCCCCAGAAACCAGCAAGGGGCCGAAGGCAGACTTGCCTTCCCCTTCTGGACATTTAAAATTTAGGGTTGTAACACGAAGTCATGTTGTGACAAAGGGATCCACAGAAGGAGCCACACTCCCCCAGTGAAATGTCCCAGCGAGACAGGATTACATTACAGCTTCGCACGTGATGGGTTACTATGCTTTGATAAAGGCTGAGATGTGCTCACATTGAAAATAAGCAGGAAACTTAACAAAACTTTCATATTCAGGAGGTGCTCACAAAGAAGTGTAGGCAACTTAAATAAACCCCCTGCCCCGATTCCTGTGCAGAAAAAAAATAAGATCTTATTAAGTGCAGAGAAGCCATGAGGTACAGGCTGAAAACACTCTAAAAAGGCCTTCTGAGTAGCACATCATCAGCAGCAATGAAATATGTGATACATGTTTAAAACTCATTCCACAAGCTGCTTTTCATCTCTCATTGATATATGTGTCCGTTGACAGAGAAATTCCTGATCCCAGGGGACTGTGCTAAGAAAAGCTGTATTCCTTGGTCTCAGTCATGAGGCGTAATTTTATTTCAGGAAAAAAGATTAGGGTAGCAAGTGTGGATAGCTCAGGGAGAATCTGTGATCTGCTGCAGCAGTGAGTACATTAAAAAGAAATATAAAAGCTACATAAAGAATAGAATAAAACTGTGTTGCAGCTATCCCAATGCCTGTAACACGGCATTTAGTGCCAGTTGCTCTGCTCCAAAGATGATTTTGTGGAATGGATTGAGCTTGGAAGGGGACAAAATGGTTACGGACACGGGATATGAAATGCAGTCAAACAGACTGAGGCTGTTCCCTGAGTTACTGAATAAGGATGAGACCCATCAGCCATTGGAACAGATCAGGTCACAGGCAAGGAGATGGGAAAGAGATGAGAAAAACTGAAAGTTAAGAGGCAAAAGCTATACAAGCTGCTCTGATTTGTCTGTTGTCATAGTACAAAACATGCTAGATACTAGAAATCCATTATTCGCTCCAAAATGATGAGCAATTTTCTGGTCTCTCACCACCACTCAGCTACTTCAAGCCAAATATCAACCTGAGTATTAGTTTCTGGAGACAGAAAACATTGCTATTAATCCACCCTAGCACCAATTTTGGCCATTTTACACAAACCAAACCAGAAAATAGTACTGAGGGTGCAATAAAGTCAGTGCAAACTGCAGCCAGCCAGATGATGCCTGCGCTGCTGCTTCAGCTCACCAGTCCAGGACAGCCTCAGAACATGTTAAAATGGCCTATAGAAGCTAATTTTCAATTATCACATCCCAGGCATGGCAGAAGATGTGAGGCTTCATCTCCAGCTTAATCATTTCAGTTTAAACTAAACGAAGGAATGTCTCTCAGATCAAAGCAAGGCAATCTTGAGTCTGCTGGATGTGGTAACTGGAAAGAGACGTGAGCTCGTCTCTCATCACTGAACTTCCACCGCTCCGCTGGAGAAGTCAAGATGTAAATCGGGCCATGGAAGAGGCTGACTTGCAGAATGTAAATGTGGTGTTGATGCTTGAAGATTTTTACCTCCTCGGGGAGGAGGGGTGTGCGTTTTTATCTTTCAGCTTGTGGGTGTGGAACTGAAAACTAATCAGATTATGCTACACGTGGCTTCGCCAGATGCTGACACTCAGGGACTCCCTTTCATTGCACCGTGTACACCACCCACCAGTTTTTTTTTGTGTGTGTGTGTTTTTGTTTGTTTTTGTTGGTTTTTTTTTTTCTTTTCTGGTACCAAGGAGATCTGGTTACCAGATTTTCAACAGCTGCTTTTATCACTCTCAAGTGGGTTAGCTATTTTCAGTCATCACCCAGTTTTATCTTTTTTTGCTTTTGCCTTAACAAAAAGAAGTACCGTGGGAGTCAGGTGTCTCTGTAAAAGAGCCAAGGGAAGGCAGAAAGG